TATTATTATTATATTGGCTCTTGGCGTTTGGTCCTGGATTATTTTTCCACTGGATCAGTTCTCGTGCTTCGTGTGGGTTTGTTAGCATCTGTTCGATAGGACCTCAGGTAACTGGCGTGATTCAGTGGGCTTACAAGTAAGTATTTCAATGATTGTTTCATATTGTGCCACCCAATGGAAGAAGTTATTTCCTTGTTGCAGGAGACTTCCGTTATTAACGTTTTCCTAGAGGAATACGGGTGACTCACATCTGATTTGTATTTTGCAGCTCTAGAACAAGTGCCAAACTCAGTGCGTCTCTGGAAGCTGGCAGTCGAGTTGGAAGACGAAGAGGATGCACGTGTTATGCTCAGCCTTGCTGTCGAGTGTTGCCCAACTTCCGTGGAATTGTGGCTGGCGTTGGCTCGCTTGGAAACCTATGAGCAAGCCCGAGTCGTTCTCAACAAGGCTCGAGAAAGCATTCCGACCGATCGGCAAATCTGGTTTGCAGCTGCTCGTTTGGAAGAAGCCCAAGGCAACCAGCCGATGGTACCGAAGATTATTGATCGTGGTGTTGCATCCTTGCAGGCCAACATGGTAGAAATCAACCGTGACCAGTGGATCAAAGATGCAGAGGAATGTGAGGCTGCGAAAAGCGTGCTTACAGCGCAGGCAATCATGTGGGTCTATTTTATGAATTCAAGTTTGATGTGTATGTAGCAATAAGCTGCGAATACTGTCTTGTTTTTCAAAGTCATCTAACAAACTTCTGTCGCTTCTCCTGTGGCACAATGTCTTTTAGCCATTCGTTTATCATCTACCTTTTGCACTCAAGTGAATGGCTTAGTTTTCCGAGATAGCTGCATCAAACGGTGGCGCAATTCTCTCAACTGTTGTTGTATAAACCAGAATTGAAGTGATTTTAGGTTCATTCCTTGCCATTTCGAATCCCTGGATCAAAGGGTTTCGGTTAATGCCTTCGGTCTGTTTTTTTGCCTCTTACTCCTTCGTTGGTCTTGGTATTCAACAACAGCGTTACTTTATTTTTCAGAAAATCAATAATAGGTTTCGGGCTTGAAGAACAAGATAAAAAACATACCTGGTTGTCTGACGCTGAGAACTGCGCTACGAACGGAGCAATCGAATGCGCTCGGGCCATCTACGCTGTTGCGTTGGCTCACTTTCCTACAAAGAAAAGCATATGGCTTCGAGCTGCCTACTTTGAACGAAGTCACGGCACTCGGTATGTCTTCCATTGAGTTGACTTATGTGTTATCTTTCATGTACAGTTGCCTTACTGTTTCATGCCATCCCTCGTTTGCTCTTCCCTGATGTTACCAAAGCGGCACTCTTTATCGTTTTGAATTTTCTGTATTTTGCTCTCCCCTTTAGTGATACACTCGAAGAGTTGTTACGTCAAGCTGTGGCCCACTGCCCTCAGGCTGAAGTACTGTGGTTGATGGCAGCGAAAACCCGTTGGTTGGCTGTAAGTTGATTCCCTCGTTTCCTTTTTAACCCCTATTGTTTTCATCCAATAAGACGTTGATCGTTCCTTCTGTGGAAAGTCTCTTTGAAGGGGAATCTACACGATCCATCGGTGCAGGAACCTGATCCTGAAAGTCTCGTTGGTGTTAGTTTTTTCGTGTGCAAATGAACCAGATGTCATTATGTTCTGCGTGCTTCATTTTTGTCACTTGCTTGATGCCTTTTCGAGTATTCACGGGGAAATCTCAACACCTGTGACAGGCTCTTTGTTGCCGACGTCGTCGTTTGTGCTGTGTTTTCCTTAGGCAGAAACCACATGAATTAAGCACATTCATTTGCCTGGAAACATCAAAACCGAGAGATTCAACTGGGTTCCAGGCGAGTCTCTCGAAAAACCAAATTAGTTTGCAAACGATTGAATATTCGCTAATTTCGTGCGATTAGTTTCAAGTAGAACATAAGGTTGACGGAAACTGGGGGACTGCGCCTACCTGATGAGCCCCAAGAAGGGCGAAACCGGTTGTGGGCTGTCGAGGAGTTTTCAGCAACCTTATGAGTAGTGCATCACAAAACTATATACGTATCGCGATATCTCGAATTAATTTTTTTTACAGGAGCTTCATCTGACTTACTGCCGACTGATTTCTTTCGGGTACTTTGATTGCTACTGTGTCTTGTCCAGTGATTTCTGTGTTGATAAAAGCAAGCTACTATAATTTGTGGGTTTCTACCACCACCTCTCTGGACGTCCTGGGAACGTTGTGTGGAGGTTGACCCGTTAAGCTTTCTTATCAACCAATTTGCGGGCTTTTCAGTCGTTCATACGAGACCTTGACATTACTAGGGTTATGAGGAGTACTTTTGGTGTTTGTTGGTTTTCAATTAATATGAGGGGCGGAGATTGTAAACTCCCCATATAAACGACTTTAGCTTCGAGAGACTAGCGCCGTCCTTTCTATTTATTCGACCGTAACACACGACCCTGTAAATGAGCTACCTCTGCCCATCTGGAATTTTTTGTTTCACTCATAGGGTGACGTTCCTTCGGCCCGTTCTATCTTGGCTCGTGCTTTCGAAGCCAACCCAAATTCTGAAGAAATTTGGTTGGCTGCCGTGAAACTGGAATCAGAAAACAATGAGTACGCTCGAGCTCGACGACTGCTCGCCAAGGCTCGTGATTCAGCTTCCACAGCGCGGGTGTGGATGAAATCGGCTCGACTTGAGTGGTGTCTCGGCGAACTGAAGGAGGCCCTACAAATGTTGGAACGGGCCACCAAGATCTATCAACATGCGCCAAAGTTGTGGCTAATGCTTGGACAACTACTTGAGGAGCTTTCAAATAGGGAGCACATGTCCCCAGATGAAGCTTCAGAGTACAAAGAACGCGCTCGCGAGGCCTACCGTAGCGGAGTGAGTACTTCTGGCAGAAGGCTTTTCGCATTTTCGATGCTAAATTAGCAGTACTTATTTTCTTGGCGACATAAGAAAATTCTTTGGCGGTATGCGATCGTGTTTTGTGGTTGAGAAGCGCACTGCTTACAGTTGGGAAGATCAGTTTTGGTCATTACTCCGGTATGTAACACATTTTCGCGTAAAACAAAAATCCACTTTCATTTGTGTGGGAACTCATTTGGGTAGGAAGTCATAGCATTTATTTGGTTGGTTCTCTTGTACGGACCTTCAATTATCTAGCAGAGCATACTCACGTTGAAGTTGTTGAGCTGGTTGACGGATTTGCATATGTCCATCGTACACCTGTGCTGTCATTCACTCATGACGTATTCGGATGATTGTTCCCGCATCCAATTCCGTGATGCGCTGGAAATGAAAGGAACATAACTGGAAGGCTACATGTGTTGACTTGGGCCAATCGGTGAGGATACTGCCAGGTAGGACGCGGCCTCCTGTCCAGTAGGTTGATACTGGAGTGTACAGTGCAGCTGTGTGTGACACGTGACATAATTCTTCCACTCAGGAGTAATGGTCTTTGAGTGAGACCTATTATTACCCGAGCTGAATGCAACTAGTTACAGACCTTGCAGGTCTTATCATACAATGAGTAGCCCGAGAGACCACTGAGCTCAGCTGTGGTGTGGTTAGTTTCCGTAACATAAGATTATATTGACCGGAGTGGAGAGTAGTTTATGATGATCTGTGTGGTCAGTGTTCGCCGCAGATTTGAAGTGATGGTTTCCGCAACGAACTGATACCGTTCATGCTCTGTGTTCATACGGTGCTTTGTGACGCACTGAGAAAAATACCCACTTGCACTAGATTTCAGATAAAACGGTTCCGTTCCAGAGCGCTTTGGACTTGGGGTCATATTCGTATGGGGTGTAAATCGTTCACTATTTGCCTGCCGCGTGAATTAATATCTACGTGCCTGAACCCGTTTGCTGCGAAACTGTTGGCTTTGTGCAGACAGTTTGTCGAAGGCGATCGAATCGTCCAATTGGGACTTTTATATCGTGTCACATGTAACTTCCCGCTTTATGACTTATTGCCCAGTCTTCTAGGTGCAGACCTAGACATATCCTATCTGGAATTTGGAATGTTAGTCACCGAGTCTTCCTTTGGTTGATTCAGAACTTATAACCGTCAACGTTAGTACCTGTTAAATCCTAACTCATATGAGTTATGGTACTCTTTCTAATACAGTAGTCCATATTTTCAGCTCCAACACACTCCAGACCATACAGTTCTTTGGCTTCAAATGGCGGAATTCGAGGAGCGAAATGGTAGCATTACGAAGGCGCGATCCATTTTGGAAAGGGCCCGAACACAAAACCCTAAAATTGCCGAGCTTTGGTAAGTGAATTTAACCTTAGCTCCTGTTGCAGGTGATGACTTGCAACCGGGATTCGTTATTTGGTGTTTACATTCTTCACCCACTCTGAGGGAGCCGCTTTCCGTGCTGTTTTCTCTAGGCTTGGTGCTATCCGTTTGGAGCTCCGGGCGAACTTGAAACCAGTCGCCGATTCACTGCTGTCAAAGGCACTCCAGGAATGTCCGAATGCCGGATGTCTGTGGGCCGAAGCAATTTTCATGACACCGCGAGCCCAGCGGAAGAGTAAATCGGTAGATGCTTTGAAAAAGTGTGAACATGATCCTCTTGTGCTTTTGGCCGTGTCTAAGTGAGTTCCACCTAAGAGACTATTGTTATTGCCTATTTGATCCGTATCCTATATTCACTCTGCCTGGAGCCCGGCATACTTTTCCCTCAGAGAGACACTCTTGCGTTTTCTTTGTCCACGGTGTAAACTATTCACCATCTGTTTGGAACTATCAAGATTATGGTCAATTTTTTCGAGAAATCACCCGATTCTTAGAGTACCAATTATATCTGAGTGAATTGCACAGTTTCGTAGGAGTTGTATGTGCTTACGTGGGATCATTGTTAGAAATCTGTATGCTGCGTGAACTTCTCATATAATTTGGAATAGATGTGATGACATCCCCTCATCAGATTGGCTATTGCGCCGTTCTAATATTGATTTCTTGTTATTCATGAAATGAGATGCTGAATAGGGACTTTCCTGCATAGGGCCAGGCTGAATACCCAATATGACTCAGATGCACTGGAGATGGGCGGGCGAATTTTCTTGCTAGCCAGCCACTCGTATTCCAGTACCTATGTGTTGTATTTTTCTATTCATTGGTGCTTTTCACGAACCTAGCCCAAGTCTATGCAAATATTTACTAGTGTTGTTGATTCCAGTCACGGATCTCACGGTACTTTCCGGTCGGTCACCATTCGTATCACCACCTCGTTCTCTTTGCAAATCTGTTACCTTATAAGTTGCAAACTCCATGCGTGGTCATTTAAGTCTCGTAACAGATCTGTCGGACCAGTTGGCTTGCTTCCTATTAGCCTGTGGATCAGCCTATACAAGTGGCCATCAATGTTAGCTGCTGGATCATATCTTGATTATCGAGTGTAGATGTAGTTTGTCCAACCAGACTAGGGCGCGCGTCAGTTTTCCTGTAGTCTTGTGGGTAGCTTCTTTCCTCTTTGTCCCAACTGGTGTTCGTCGCAAAAAATGCGTTGAATTTTGTGGATAACTTTGACTTTCTTCGTGATTTCCAGTTTCTTTTTTTGGGATGTCGGTTCTGCATGACTGAACACGTTTTTAGCCGCATCGTTTGAGCATGACTTTATCCGCACTTACATATTTTCTATGACATTGTCCGTCCTTAAGGTTGACATTAGCGTACTACTTGGATTTTGATCGACCAACTTCTGATTCATCAGCTACGGCCTCAACCGTTGATGTGCGGTGAGAATGTATCCATTCCACTGACGTTCCGTCTCGTTTAACTGGGCTCTGTTTCTTTGCAGGATGTTCTGGAACGAACGACTCGTGTCCAAGGCCCGCAATTGGTTCACTCGAACCGTGAAGTTGGAACCTGACCTCGGTGACGCTTGGGCATATTTCTATAAATTTGAACTGCAGCATGGAACTGAAGTAAGTGTACTATATGCCAACCACAGGAGTTCTTGAAGTTGACGAAAACTTTGCCAACATTAGTGGAAAATGCCTGAATGAGCAGTTTTTTGTGGAAAGTCCACCAACCACGGATTCTCGTGATGATGATATCTGTGTTCCCTGCTATTGATGCCTATGTAGCAAAGCGGTTAAACATTTGCTTGTGTAGGTGGCATCGTCGAATAGACAACTTGTTTTTCTTCCAACGGAGTTTCCCTGCCCATGGAATATTTCATGACTGCTGCCTATTCTTAGAGATAAGGTGGCGAAATTCGGGGACTGGTGGTGGGTGTAGTCTCTTCTTGCGTAGATTTTTATCTCCTTCTGAGACAAGGCTGAAGGTAATGAGTAGCTCTTGACCTGGCAGACTAACTTGAGCTGACTCAATCTCTTCGGGGTTGTTGTGAGCTGTGTTCAATTTCGGGTTACTCTTGTATGCATGTACTTCCCACCTATCTGTTATCTCGCCTCTTCTGACTTGTGCACAGTCCGCGCAATATACTCACGGCAGGGAAGTTACCTGAGATTTTACAATGTTCACTATCTACTATATCTTTTTTATGACAATCCTGAAATAAACTGGTGTGTTCAGGCGAAAATCTACGAAGAACTACATTTATTCCCGGGGTGGTTCATTAAAAGAATTTTAAGTCTTCAGGCTTGCCGTCAGATGTATATTTCCAGCTTTGTTGTGGCTCAGTGGACGATGCAGCTAACTCCGTAGAAATTGATTACATCCCTTCTTTTTGGCTTTGATCTTTATGTTCATCACAGAAGGCTGATCTCATTCCAGCGAAATCACGCTCACTCTGTGAGTAACACCATATTCACATATCCCACAATGCTGGCTGTATCCAGTTGCTCGGTTGTCAAACTCTGTATAAGAACTACTTTGATTTAGGATTAATTGTACTGTTTTTCTGTTTCCCCTTGTAATACAAGCACGTTTTGGTCAAGTAGGAACCTATTTTACCGTAGATAACAATACTCAATGCTCAATTTTCCTATTTATGTTTCTTACCCATCCCACGGTCTACTTTTCCCTGTTTTTGCCAGTTGTTTACTCTTCAGCTTTGTTTTCTTAGGTTATTCAAGGAACGTAGTTGTTGGAAAAAGTAAATCGCTGTGATGTCGTGTTTTACTGCTGTATTTTCGATCCACGATAGGTCCCTACTTCTGATGTGTTTGATGGTGCCTTCTAATAGAGGAGTTCGTACTGCTTTTTTAGACGTTTGCTATCCTAGGCTTGGTACTAAATGAATATTGGCGTATCATTCTGTCGTTTCAGGATCAACAGAAAGAGGTTCTTCGGCGCTGTGTCAGTGCAGAACCGCATCATGGGGAAGCCTGGTGTCGCATTGCCAAGGCGCCTTGCAACTGGCGCCTAAAGACAAAAGAAGTATTGGCCCGAGTGGCAGAAGCGGTCGCCTTACCAATCTAGTTGTGACCATTCAGAATTGTTGTACACCTTTCCAACTGTAAACTACACACCCCGTTACATACTTTCTTTTACATGCTTGACTTCTCTTTGAAAGGTTGGACCAACAAGTAGTGTAGATCAATAAGTTTTATTGTTTTCTATGATAAAAAAGTAATCAAATCTACGAAGTTTGTTACAGTGGTAAAGCCGGCGTCTGTCCATTCCTCAATTCCAATCATCTACCCATTTCACTTCACTTAAAATGCATCGGCGGTAATTTTTTCAAGTTGCTGGTGCTTTTTGAGAGTCCATGCTTTGGATGGAAGATCCGGCTAAACAAAGGAGATAGAGTGAATTAATATTAGCGACGGTTTTAGTTAATAACTTATGCGGAGGGATATTTGGGCCTATGTTGAGAATTTCGTGAAACACAGTTATGGCTTGTCACACCACAGCCAAATTTTTTCTTTGGTGTTGAATCCTCGGCAAGTCACCTATGTTTAACGTACTTTGAGCAATGGTAGTTCTTTAATAGAACTAACTCGGTAGCACGCAAGCTGTTCCTTACCTTGAGTTGCTGCATACTCGGGAGTTCGACCCTTAATTAAGTCAATCAAAGAGGCTGTTAATCCCTATTTTCTAGTCGCTTTAAGGTTGTACCTATTAAAAAAAAAGCCAACTGGTATCATAATCTGGTATGTTTCTCAGCATTGGAAGGACAATAACGAATGGTTGCTTGTTTTTATTTAAGTCGGACAAACTGGTAGGTCTCCTCTAGCGAAGCATAAATGCATTTCTCCATGTGAACTATCTCCGAGTGCTCATGCGTTCAGTCCGTTGTATTCAGACGGCTTAATCGGTTTGTGAAGATGCATGTATCCCACATTTTTCAGTGACTTTATCCTGTCTTATGCGTAATTTTGGTTCACTGGGGTGAAGAAGACATTTTCTTGAGGAGCCATCGGCAAAATAACCTTCCGTAACATAGGTTCAAAATGTGATCCCCATTTAATAACCAACGGTAGAAAGTGGAATTTTGTCTTTTTTAGTTATCTGGTAAGCGAGTTGGGCCCAAGTTCACTGATGAAGTGGGGAGCAAATCATACGATGGTTGCTTCCGTTCCCCCTAACCAACCCTCCGTACAGATGATGGGGTTTCTGGTCACCAAATGGGGAATTTCGCCGGCACGAAGGATTCACGTCAAAAGCGAAACGTTGCCCAGCAATAAATCTACCGATTATCACCAAACGTTTTCGAAAACGATGGATCAAGCAATGTTATATTAACTTTTTCTTGGGTGAATTACTAACAGTGCAGTGAAAACGCGACTCTTTGGACCCGATTCTTCCCTCAGGTGAAGATTTCTTTTGTATGGAGAGTACCCTTGAATATTCTGGTCGGCTTTAGCCTGCTTGCTCCGGGTTGACACATTGTAAGGTCGAGCATTGCAGTTGTTGTGACGAGACGTAACATTGAAACGCTAATCCCGTTCGCTACGGAGGAAGGGGTTTCCAGTACGCTTCAAAGAGTGTTTCCATTGCGGAATTTTACGGAAAGAGTTCAACGGTGCGTAATCGCTGGTTGCGATTGTGTACTGTGTTGGCGGTTGCAGCCAACCACGGATTGTAAGGTATCTGACTCCCTTCATTGGGGCGATGTGGACCAACGCGAACACTACGCGCTGTCGATGTTCTCACTTGTGGTGCTGTCTCCCTATGGTCGGATACTTTCTAGTTGGTTACAAGTCTCGCATTTAGCCCAGGTTGGGTTTGATAAGATGAGAGCGTGAGATTTCTCGAGTTGTCCCTCACAGAACACTTCAGTGGACCTATCTCTTACTTACCTGATGCTCATACCATTCACATTGCTCTGCACAATTCAACGAGTGAAATCAACCAGTTAATGCTGTGTGGCGCGCAAGTATTGTGATCGTATATGGTCCTTTAGCATAAATTATTAAAATGTGCGTGGAGCTCCCTCAAAGATTAAAGGAGGTGCGAGGAAAAATATTCTACAGAAGTTCCCTTTATGCAGAGATTCGAAGCGCACTTATGAATTAGACACTGGGCATAGGCTTTTTTCCCAATTTTCTAGTCATTCACCTTTAGCTCATCAATACAATGTATCTTAGTCATCTTTAGTAGTTATTAACCTACCATCCGAACAGAACTAGTTGCTGGAAAAAAATATTTCCTACTATGTCCCGGGGGACTACAACCGCAACTTTATTGATACGAACGATTAGCTGATACCTAGTTGTGACTCTTGCCTCAGTGGCTGACATTCGATTTTGAGTGTGTTTTGTCTCTGGCTTGTTAGTTAACCTTACCTTGGGCGTTCCGACTTCAGAATATTGTCGTTTATTTTCTCAATCTGAAATTTCGATGACGGTGCAGGCACATACGTATAATTCAGCTCAATAAGCGCTTGCTTCCTTATGTCTGTGGCCCAGTAGTAGGCCTAAAACATGAAAACAGTGGCATGAAAAGTAGAAGACCATTTTTCGTAACATTGAAAAACAACTGACACATTTCACCTCCGATATATATGAGGCATATAATAACAAAATATGCTTTTTAACCAACGACTGAATTGGTCAAAACGGTTTAACTTCGGATAATTAGTTACAATAAGAATATACAGGCCAACCAGTGACCTCAAAGAACGGTTGAAAAACAAAAAGGTTATCATTTAGGCTCTAAAGACAGATTGGAATGTATGACAGCTGTGGCTATTACTCATGATATTTTTCAACTAGGTGTGCGGCACAAATGCCTTATCTTGTTTCAGCTGATGCGGTATTCGAAATAACAACTTATTTTCACACTGGAACATACTTTTTATGAGGTTGAAAAATCCTTGACAGCCCATGACCGACTTTGCTCTCCCTAATGGCATGTCAGACAGTTTCTTCCTTTAACCAAGAGTATACGCAAATTATGAACTAGACTTCCACAAATAATTTAGTTTTACCGAGAGTCTACAAATAAAGCCCTCAGTTGTGACATTCATTATTTTTAGTTAGTAACAATGCTACATTAGCTGAGCTAACGGGTGATCACAACAAACCGTTATCTCATGCCATCATCAGTACAACATACTAGACAGAATTCTTTCAAAGCCATCCTGTTTCCCTAAGTAATTTGGCTATCTTTCGTCTTGGTTTGTGAATTAGTGTATTTTGCCACTCCCATATAATTTGGGTTCATGCAGAATACAAAGCTGCCAGAAACTGAAGTAGTGTGCTTTAGGGTTAGTATGCTCCGTCAGGAAAATACACTAATATTTCGAATAGCATACCAGAGGAAATATGGAACGGGATTTTCGCAGCACATCGATTTAGAGAATATCATGAATAAGAAATCCAGCTGAGTCACCCGTCATCACTAAACCGTGGTGTACAAATAATTATTTGGATTGTTTCATGCAATCCTGGTACAAGTGGAACATGAAACTGATGGAAAGTCGGAGACTATCTGGCTGATGAGATCCAAGTAGGGTGAATCCAGTGGTAAACTCTCAAATAGTTTCTGCCAACCTACGAGTCCTGTTTTGACAAGAATTTTGTCAGCTTCTATATATTCTTCGTATACCAACAGATGTTGGATAGTCGTGGAGGTACAATGTAGTTATTTAGTTAACCTGCTCCGTCGATTTACTCCAACGCTATAGCAGTTACGGTGTAAATCTTTTCGTCAAGTTATCAATGATGGCGTGCGTAGAGCAATGTTTTTTGATGTATTGCTTTTGAGATACACCGTTCTAACAAGCAAAAATTTCATGGAAATAAAACGTATCGTGGACATTAATTATTTTACATACGCTCGTGTACACTTCGTGGCCAAACTTTCTTGGTATCTTTTGCAGCCGCAGATGCATCTTTCCGGTCACACGCGAGAATTATTTCAATGGGAATCCCTAGGCAACCATTAATCATCATCATCAAAATCGACAGCATGACATCAGTGTTCAACACCGATGCTTCATTGCAGATCAATCATGGTTTATTTGTTGTGAAAAAGGTATAAAGGTGAATAGGGGAGGGACGTGGTGCTTACTACTACTACTACATACTACTTACTACGATCAGTCCGAGGTGCCTTCAGCTCCAGACACTCATTTAAGCAGTAGACGTTAATTTATTTTTTAAAACAGACCTCGTGAAAGCGAAATAGGAATTAGTTTACTGCTTCACTTTGAGCACCCATTGACCGTTTTTTCACCTACCGATATGTTCGATGTTCAGGATTCCTTATCTTCGTTCTCATAAGCTTTCCGCTTGCAGGATGCGAGTACTTCAAGTAGAGTCTACGTTTGTTTTGGTCGCAATCTTTCGGCTATCGAGATAATAGCACGGCGAAACATGGCTTCAGTTATCCCAAAACTTGCCGCTTCTAATAGAAGTGGAGTGAGTTGGTAGTGTTCAGAAACCGGAAGAAATTTTTACTGCTCTTTGAGCTTTGATAATTCTTAGTATGTTTTATTTTTCACTTGCTTAGGCATCCCAGCTTGCCCATATTTTTTAAACAAGCCAGAAATTTGACGTCAAACACAATGAGAGAAGAATTCAACTTTTGGATTCCCCTAGCGTTCGGAGACAAGAGGATAAGCTGAGGAGAATTCTTACAGCGGCTGGTGGAGAAAATTGAGCATCTGGATTAGAGCCTCTTTTTAGTTTACTCCAGATTACTCGATGCCCATTGATCTGTGCAGTATTTTGCAGCATGTTATAGACAAAAAACCCCAGAACCCTATGCAACATGTGGCCTGTCCAACTCTTTACGGTTTCATTCTAATCAGACAATAGATATGTGGAAGTAATGACGACCGTAAAGACAGCTTTAGACATCGTCTATAAAAGTCCATCAAACAGAATAACCCGTCCCTTTTATCAATATATTGTGAATATAAAATCTCTGCAATCCCCTGCATTTTATGAGATCCAAATCGGGTAAGGCCTGAGGTATGGTGTAGAGCCTCGGTCGCCAGGAACAAGTGCCGAATAGTTGGGCCAATTACTGCAGCCTCAGATAGACCAGTTGTTTTGCGTGAGGCCTGTCTGCAGTGGACACCGCAGAAAAACGCTGGACATGTTCAACTTCTGTCTGTTGCAGCGAATTTCTTT